TATATATATACTAATTGACATCAATTCAACATCCAACATATATATCAAATTATTTTTATAAACAAAACTTGTATATAAGTTGGCCCATTCCTTGATTACCACCATCTCATCGTCAAGCAAACATGTTTCTAAAAATATTTTGTTTAAGATTATGGTTTCTGATTTCCACCATGATGGTTTTAATATGCTTTCATTTTTCTTTGACAATTATCTATGGTAAGAAAAGGCTAAGAATTTGACGAGCTAAATAATTATTAACTCCTTTGTGTCATTTTTTTTGTGATATTTATTTTTTTATCAGTAATTATGTTCGATCACGCAAGTGTTGTGATATATTATAATACCCGTTACTTTTATATTATTGTTATTATTATTTTAAAGCAATAGTTAAGAATAGTATATTCATTAAACTCTTGTAATGAAAGATGTTTAAGTGTAAATCATTAGCTTAGAATATTTAAGTTAAAATTAATGATATTATACTTATTAAATCCTTATAAATCAATCTTTATCTACTTTTAATATAGATTAAATTAAAAAATCATAATAAATCATTAATCTCATTCAATCAGATCACCCAAAATTTCATCATTGTGTGTGTGACAATAACTTGAATGTTAATTGGCATGTCAAATCATACTTTAACATCCAAATTATATATCAAATTGCTTGTAGATGAATAGACTCCTTAATGTTGACAGTCCTTCTTGGAATTGTAATGCCACGGCCAATGGAAAAGTCAGGAATAGTACAACACTACAATACAATCTTATAAGTGCAAGGCCAAAACCGTAATAAAATCTTCTTCATACCATTTATCACATTAGTCAATCAATAATTACTTCACCCATAAAATATTCATAATTTATTTAATAAATTAATTAATATAATTTAGTCAATAATTGATCTATTATGCTTTTGCTGTATAACTCTAAAAAATTGAGAGATAATGATATGAGCAATTACGACTTAGTAAACATCATTATTCGCATACCAATCAAAATTTTTCATAAATATATGTTTTTAAAAACATATAAACCCTTTATACATTCAACATATGTTTTTAAAATATGTATCGATATCAAATATTTTCTTTATGCCCATATAATTTATATAAAAAACTTAAAATTTATATGTATTTTAGAATCATAAGCATTTTAGAATCGTAACTTGTTGAAATAAAATGCATGAATACTTTTCAGAACGACATACATATATTTTAAATCACATAAAATACGATTAAGATACAAGTAAATATATTTTTATAATAAAATATATGTACAGTTATTGTCATATATCAAAGCATAAAATATTGTGTTACAAAGACTATCATTTATATAAATGTAGTTAACTGTTTATAAACATAAATATAGTTAAGGTATACATATTAGAATAGAAGTCATAGTAAAATCAATAGCTAGGATCATGAAATAGTGCTTAGAATTATGCTAGTTAGTAGGGTCCATATTATAATCATGATAGTTAGACAACTATCATGTCACAAAAAATAATATATTAATTATTTTTTTAAAAAAAATAAAGTTAAACATTTTTTTAAAATTTTATTTCAAAACTGATGCAATCATATATCATTTTTTATTTTTTAAATATAATATTATATATACATTTAAATAAAATTATCTAAAATTTTATAAAAAATAATAAATAGCAGTTCAAATTATGTACTTTCTCGAATTATCAAAAGTTAAATTCCTTTGCAATACTTTTAAATAACAAAGATTTGTAAACCAAGTCAAGCATATGAATTTATTGATTCCAAACATATGTATTAATACTTACCCAAATTACATAACCTCGACATAAGCGTATAATTCTGATACTTTGTTTTATGTTCTTATTCGAATCCTCTATATATTTTCTCTAATTGTTTATTTCTTTTTCTCTTCTCTCTTCCATTTCTCAAACCTTTCTCTCTTTTTTTTTCTTTCTTGCTTCTTCTCTCTCTCTCTACCTTCTCCCGTCTCTTCTCCATTTTCTTCTTCGCTTCCCCCACCCCCCCCCCCCCTCCAAATTTTCTTCTTTCACAACTCTGTCATCAGAAAAGGCCAAGAAATTGCCAAATGCTTCCATGACTATTTTGAACCGTTGACCTCGGATGATAAATCCCTGTGATCTCCCGTTGACATTCTCATAGTTTCAAAGTCGTCGAGCACAATGCGCGACTGTGTGTGTGAGGGCCACACGTACGAGTGCTCCAAGACACGCATGCATCTTCGCCACGACATGCAGTGTTATATATAGAACACCCGCACTTTGATCTGTTTCACACTGTATGGCACCGGCCATTGTCTTATTTCCTCCTCCAAAGTCATTAACATTGCTACTTATCCTTACAGCTAGTGATTAAGATAAGGCTGATGAGACGGCAGAAGAAACAAACAAATTATATAATAGTTTGGTGCCTCCCCTACAAAAGCCTCTCCTACTTCACATATTCCACCACCATATTAATCTTTTCTATCACATTGATCAATGTATTTTATGCAGGAGTAGGAACATTACATGTGCTCTGTGGAATCACACACTGTAGTTTAGTCATTCACATTTCCATGTGCCTCACACTGATCCGTCCAGAAAAATATTGTGCCAAAACGAGTCGCATGTCGCCATATTCCATCATCTTTTCCTTGTTAGACGTGATATGATATATATATTAGCTGCCTGTGAGCACAAGTTTCCATGTTGCAAATAAATTATCACGTTTATCATCAAAAGCCTAATAAATTAGCCCGTCAGGTGATCGTAAGCATCACTGTTCTCATATTTTTCGTCAACTTTTCCCTCCTAGATTTGATCAATCTATGCCCTTTCCCTGTCTAATTCTATCAAGAAGAATTCATCTAGAAAAAGAAAACCAAGGAATTAGAGTAGAAAAATATTGCCTCGAGTGGTCATATGGCCTTTGATCTTAAGACCATAAGGATTAAAATATATATTACAATACCTTATGGCCACCACCAACAACATCCAAATACAATATGACTGTAAGATAGTGATCCTGAGGTGTAAACAGTATATTCATTTAAATTAAGGAGTCTGTCCTCATGTATTTTGTCTTGTTAGACAAAGGCTTTCTAATTAATATTTTTAATATTATATGTACGTAACAAATTCATCTACTCGAATTAAATATATTTAATTCTCCTCGGGATTGGAGTCTACAACTACTACATCTTTCTCTTATGGAGCATGAATTTTCAGTGGGAGGGGATGAATTTTCTCTTTGCCTCGTCTTGAATGATGTCTTCAGACATCGATAGGTCGTAAGGGATTGGTCGGAGAAGCCGCCGCCAGCAGCCGAACAAGAGCCAATGCGTCTTCGCCATTGCTTTTGGACTTTGACCGGTCAACCAAACGTGGGTTGCCTATAGCAGATCCCGCGGTCAAACAACGACACATGCTGCTTCACAGCAGCTCGACACGGATTTAATGTGGTCAACGCTTCCTCGTTTACGTTTGATTAGTATAGTGTTGAGCCTAATATAATCTTTTAGATCCGAGGCAAAGGCTTAAGGCTTTCTTCGAGCAAGCAAGCTCAACAAAAAATGGCTGCGGCTTGCTACGTATCCGGAAGACTTACCTTCCTCTCTTGTTTCGTCTTCTTCTTCTTCTTCCTCAGCTCTTCCTTCTGTTTCTTCGCTCATGCCACGGACACCTTGACCCAGGGCCAATCCATCACAGATGGGCAGACCTTGGTGTCAGCCGGGAACATCTTCGAGCTGCGATTCTTCAGCCCCGGGAACTCCAGCCATGGCCGCTACGTCGGCATCTTGTACCACTCGAGCATCTCGGCCACCCAAACCGTGGTCTGGGTGGCCAACCGGGAAGCTCCCATCACGGGCTCCGGCGGCCGTCTGATGGTCACGAGCGACGGAGATCTGGTGGTGCTCGATGGAGCAGGAGGCTCTGTTTGGTCTACCAACTCGTCGGCGGCGCCCAGCAACAGCTCCACCACCCTACAGCTCTTGGACACCGGCAACCTTGTTCTCCAAGACGGCGGAGGAGGAACGCTGTGGCAGAGCTTCGATCACCCGACCCACACGTTCCTCCCTGGCATGAAGTTGAGTCTCAACACGACGACGGGCAAGGCGCTGCTCTTCACGTCGTGGAAGAGCCCCGACGATCCATCGGCAGGGAACTACACGTTGGGCCTCGACCCCAATGGATCGGCGCAGATCTTCATCTGGGACCGAGGGGTGCCACGGTGGAGATCGGGGCAATGGAACGGGCACAGGTTCATAGGCACGGTGATGAGGTCGCTCTACATCTACGGCTTCGACTACGAGACCGATGAGAGCCAAGGGATCGCTTACTACACGTACACTCCGCACAACGCTTCCCTGGTGAGGTTCGTCATGGAGTGGGACGGCATGGAGAGGACGTTCATGCAGGTGCAGGAGACGAGGCAGTGGGAGATCGTGTGGGGGCAGCCCATCAACCAGTGCGAGGTCTACGGCATGTGCGGGGTTTACGGGACGTGCAGCGACGACGGGACGACGACGACGTGTAGCTGCCTGCGAGGGTTCGAGCCGCGGTCGAGCACGGAGTGGAGCGACGGTAACTGGACCAGTGGGTGCGCGAGAAAGACTCCATTACTTTGCCAGCTAAACAGCAGCAGCAATGAAGATGGATTCTTCACGCTGCCGGGGGCGAAGCTGCCGGACCATTCAGACTGGGCTTCCACGATCGGAAGCGAATCGGGGTGTCAAGAAGCTTGCTCGAGCAACTGTTCTTGCAGGGCCTACGCTTACGCTGCATCCGACATAGGATGCTTGTTATGGGGGCATGATCTCATCGACATCTACCAGTTCGAGTTTCCTCAGGACGGCTATGATCTCCATGTCAAGCTCGCGGCGTCTGATCTTGGTAAGTATTTTCGAGTCCGAGGACGATTAATTGGATCATATTTTTCTGTAGATTTATTTCATGGTTTTCGCATAGATCAGATATGATCCATCTAATAACCTCCATTAAAATACAAAAAAATATCAATTATAATAGACTCATGTAACCTTATAAATTTATTTAAGCTGACGATTCTCGATGTGATAGGACATTAAGAAAAGTATATATAATATCAATGAAGATAATATTGTAATAATTGTTTATTCTTATCTTGAATTAAGGTGATAAATTACATGTAGCAGGTACACCAACCATTTAACTACTACAACGAATAAGAAATGCCATACATCACTATCACTCCATTAAAGCCAAACATGCCAGTCGAAAGGAAAGGCTAATACAATTATTGTGTGCCCTTTCCATGCCTCTTGTTAGCCGTGCTGGATGACCTGCACACCATTCATCCATGCCTTCCACATCATCAAGCCCACCCACTTGCACAAGCTTGGTGCACTTGAAGCTAAAGCCTATCCCACCCACGATAAAGGTGTGACTGCGTTTTTCGATGTTGTCCCCCACCAGCAGTGGAAGGCAATACATCCTTGTTTCTTTACTCTTCATGGTCCTTTTCCCCAAACTTTTCTCGAATGAATTCAAGGTTGAAGGCTCGAATATTTTGGATTCTTATACTTCATTCATGTTTATCTGTAATCTATTGTGGTTTATTCAAAGCTCGTTTAGCAGACATGATTCAGGGAAACACCAAAGGGTTTTGTCATGTTCTTTGGACTAATCCCTGATTTGGATAAGATAGGACATACCTTCACAAAGTTGACATAGTTCGACCTACTCGGCTCGTTTGAAGTCGAAGAAAGCTGGTTGGACAATGCTGTCTTAGCTGATGACCTTTTCCTATTGCACATGATTCCAATGGTAATCATATTCTTCTTCTTGTCTTGTCTTTTGTCTTTTGGGCAACAGATGCTGCAAGCGACAAGACCAAGTCGAGGGTAATAGTGGCGGTAGGATGTGCACTGGGGTTACTGCTTGCCATCATCATATGTTTCTTCTTGTGGTGGAAGTACGGTTCAAGAGCAAAAGGTGAGGTGAAGGATATATTTATATGGTTCTTATGATGCTTTGATTTATGAAGATATCATCGTATTTTCACTTACTTACTGATGTGTAATATGTGCTATGTAGTTTCCTGGAAGAAGAAAAGGCAGCAAGAGAACACAGTATTGCATCCAAGTGGAGAAGTAGTATCGGAATTCTCGAGCATCTACGGAGAAGAAACGCAAGAAGGAAAAGCTTCTGAGCCACTGTTCACGTTTGACTGCATAGCGACTGCCACCGGTTACTTCAGCGACTCAAATAAGCTCGGCGAAGGAGGTTTTGGCCATGTTTACAAGGTAAGAGTTGGCATGCACGGAGAATGAGTCACGCTGCAGCATGGCATCTAAACATGGATGATGGTATTATTGATGCTTGTGAAGGGAACGCTGCCTGGTGGACAAGAAGTGGCTGTCAAAAGGCTCTCCAGGAGTTCGGGGCAGGGGTTGGAGGAGTTCAAGAACGAGGTCATACTGATCGCCAAGCTGCAGCACAGGAACCTGGTCAAGTTGCTCGGCTGCTGCATTCAAGGAGAAGAGAAGATCCTCATCTACGAGTACCTGCCCAACAAAAGCTTGGATGCCATCATCTTCGGTATGACACTTGTGGATTGCACCGTCTCTTTTTGCTCTTCCCCATGGAGAAGAAGAAAGGAGGTTTGACTTGGATGGATGATTCCAACAGATACATCGAAGAAAGAGCTACTGGACTGGAAGAAACGCTTCAACATCATCGAAGGGATCGCTCGTGGCCTTCTCTATCTTCACAGGGATTCCAGGTTGCGCATCGTTCACCGTGACCTAAAAGCCAGCAACATCTTGTTGGACGAGAACATGAACCCTAAGATATCGGACTTTGGCATGGCAAGGATCTTCGGAGCCGACGAAAACCAAGGCAACACGAATCGTGTCGTCGGGACGTTGTAAGTATCGAGCATATCTATTGCTGCAGTGAGAGGATGTTGGGACTAAGTGCAGCTTGTATTGACACTGATGCAGTGGATACATGTCGCCTGAGTACGCCATGGAAGGTCTCTTCTCGGTGAGGTCCGACGTCTACAGCTTCGGGATCTTAGTGTTGGAGATCCTGACAGCAAGGAGGAACAGCAGCTTCCATCGGATGGAGAACGCCGTCAACATCGTGGGATACGTACGTTGAACACCCACCCCCATCTCGATGCTGCATTTGGATTTCGCGCCGTCTTGCGTGTTCACTTACCCGCAGGTGTTTCCTTGGGTCTTCTTATTGTTGCAGGCGTGGCAGCTGTGGAACGAGGACAGAGCGGTGGAGCTGATAGATCCGACGATACGGTCGGCCTCCATGATGTCTCAAGCGCTGAGATGCGTGCATATAGCCCTGTTGTGCGTGCAGGATCGAGCGAGTGATCGACCTGACATCGACGCCGTCATCCGCATGATGGGGAGTGGGAGCGGCCCTCTTCCCATGCCTAGACAACCCATGTTTGTGGCAGTGGGAAGCACAGATGTTACGGAGACGAAGATTGCCAACAAGTACGAGTCATTCTCCACCTACGACGTCACAATCACAATGGTTCAAGGGAGATAGAGCTTGTAGACTTCATGAACACTCGGTGTTTGCGACAATGGGTGAACCCCAATGACTTATGTTGCCAATAGGGTGTTTACGCTGACAAGAAGCCGCTCGGGTGATAGCTCTACTGGAAGTTCCAAGGATCTATTTATCATCCGGAGGAGTTCCAAGCAAACATCTCGAGGAGGCTTTGTGTTTTCCTGATGTGGCTTTTTATTTCTTGATTGTACAAGATCAATGAGATGCATTGTTCCATTCCGAGAGGGAAGCTCATACATTATTCTGTATAAACTGTAACACTTGGAAGAATGATATATAAACTTGATTGGTCTACCATAAGTAATTTCGACTAAAGGTGATCTATAATATAAAAGAATTAATATATAATGGAAATAGAAAAGAATTAATCATGACATGAAACCACCGATTGCAAACATATGACATTCCAAATGATAATATATAAAGGTTGATGAATCAATTATGTTAGTTCCAGCCTAAAGGTCTATCAAGATAATATGTCAATCCCAAATGCATGAGATATTGAATTACATGATGATAATAACAAGTAGTCCTCAAATCACAACTATTATGGCACATAATTAAATTGACTCACCCTCATAAATCATACATCTAGTGTGGCTTAGGAAGCTTCCATGCCAAATCACATATTAATCAGTAAAGAATTAGGTGACTCACAAAATTTACAGGGCAAAGACAACCAACTTAATTAGAAAAAGCAAGTGTAACCTAGGAATAAATCTACCAGATTCTATACAATCTGCAAAATCAGAGACTAGTCTGATTTCTACATGCACAATTGAATTGACTACAAAGAAAAATATCACACTGCGGCTCATGGTGTCTAAGGTGAAGAAAGAAATGCTATCATGTGACAATTATGCTATGTAGAATAATGTTAATTGAATTCACCATTGTCATAATGAGTTGTGTCATCATCGAGTCTGCACCACTTTGTAATTGAGGATCAAGTCTTCTGGCTTCTTCCATATGTATGTTCGAACAGTAGCCAAACTCATTTCCGGAGATACGACCTGCACATGGAAAACAAAGAAGAAAGGGGAATTATTATGTGGCACTGGAACTGGTCCGCCTAAGGACCAATATCGATACTAAACCGATGCTTATAACCTTGTGTGAAAGTACCAACCAAATGTGAATCCAGGAAATTGTAAATTAATGCATCTGACAGTGCCAAATAGACATGAATCCCAGGAAACAAATGGTTTTATGTGCCGTCTTTCCTATCTTACTTTTGTTTTAACTTGACAACATTTTACATGCATAAATTTAATTATTTGCACTAGATTGGCATGCTATTCTTGTTTTTGTTCAACTCTGTTGGCTGAGTCTGAAGGTTCAACATGTTTTAACATTTTAAACTCATCTAAGATATTAGCTACTACAACTCCTTTCGCCAAACCGACAGTGTACGTGGTTTTCACACACAACCCACTAATTCTACCAATTGTAATAACATTCCAGCAAACCACTTTCAGATATAGTTTGTCCTACACTTCCAAGGTCCTTAATGGGTACGTTGACATATCACCATAGCAGTACAAAGCTACAGATGCTAAAATCTAAACTGAAGGTTCCATGAATGACCGTGGTGTGTAAACTGAGGATATTAGAGATACATGGTTGCCTTTGCACTGTCAATTTGTGAGTCAGTGACTCAGCAGAATTTTAAACAAAGTAAATAAGAATAAAAATTTAGTCAAAACATATGTAGCAGAATTGCATAATAAAAATTGAATAAACTGAGGATATTAGGGATCATGGAAATATATTAAGAAGAAAGTAAATGCATGTTTTTGTTGACAGCATCTGTGAGACTCAATTTTATGTAGAAAACATCATTAGTAAAAGTCAACATGTCATGTTGCAGGTCCAATAAGCCTCACTCCTAGTTCAAAAATTAATGAAAACCAAAAATTTCATCATAGAAAGCTTTGCTGCACTTGCCTGGTTATTACACAAGATGTCAATAGATGGCATTAGCTTTGGCCATGACTTCATGCTCTGTTTTACTCCACTTGATGGAACTTGTGTCTTTGTCATGCTGACTCCTAAAACAATTGTCGCATCAGAGCTTCCACCATCCAATGGTTTGTCAAGAACCATCTTCTCCATAACATAACTAATCACCTGCAATACAAGAGGATGAAACAAACATATGAAGACCAAAATAAGAAATTTTGGATATGTTAACTAATTGATTGTATCTTGGCAAACTAGCCAAGAAGAGATAGAAAGTGAGAAGATTATAGCTTGACATTGACCAAGTCATACTTCTTTATATTTGAAGTTAGTTTTCCACTAAAACATTATGACTTCAGGTAAAACAGCTACATCACAAGTTATTCATCTGGCACTGACTCGTCAAAAATTGTAACTTGATTAGATGATAAACAAATATTACTGTTTTTATTTACTTTGATGTTATAAATAAATGTTAAAAAGAAGCGATCATAATGCAACACAGGTTAACTTCTATATGCACTAAACAGTAACATTAATTTTGTGAAGAACCAAGACCCTACATTTAATATGGTACAATTAACACTTCTCCAATCTATTCCCATTAGATCAATTGTTTGCTTGATAAAAAATAAGAAAAAAAGATCAATAAACTAGTGACTATTTGTCTTGTTATGTCTATTAATCCACATTTTTATTACAATAACCTAACATATGAAAAGCTAGAACAAAATATGATGGTCACCTAACAAGAAAAAATAACTGATTCTTACTTTGTTCATCCTCAATATCCTTGGTGCACTCAATTTCCCCTGTGTGATGACTGGCACAGTTGAACCTTCACAAGGTAGCAAAAAGAAGCTACATCTACAGTAAAGAACAAAGTAATATTGATGTCACAACTTATCAACACAACCAAAGAAATTCCACATCACAGCAACAAAGATATGAATACAATCTCAACTATTAGGTACATAATAACACCACTAACATTAATTAGTAAAATAAACTCCAGTAATATTAAGCAAAAGCCCAAGTTGGATAAGCAATTTTTGAAAAGTGACTTAGCTTTAAACTGCTTCCAGAGACAAACAATCACAAGTCATTTCTACAACTTAGAATAATCTTGTCAGCTCCTAAGAAGATCAAAGTTGCAACAACATATTTAGGTTTAACAATATAAGAGTAGCAGCAAAAACTTCTAACATTTGTCACATAGGTATCATCAATAATAAATAAACCACATTAACTGCCAGTGTGTCAACAAATGTTGTATCATTCATAATATGCATACTATGCTTCCACCCCAAACCTAGGATGTATCAGGAGTAACTGTAAGATTTATATGGAGCAGAAGATTAGCATTCCTAATGTATGGAAGAATTTATTATAAAGAAAAACAAGCAAATAGATATTCCTAATGTGTCCAATTATCAAGGAGGTGGTGGATATATGGAAAAGATCAAGACATGACTTATTGTTAGGGAGATCTGTCACAGGTAGAATCTGTTGCAAATTAAATGTAAAATAAAAACTATTTAAAACAAAGCAAAAAAAAATCAAGAATTTGAGAAATTTATGAATTAAAGAGATGAAGCTAATTACTATAGAAGCAATGTAGTCAATCATGAAAATATGCACATAAAATTTTACTACTGGTCCAGGCATGGACCGATATACAGACCACCCCGTTTCGGGCAATCTACATTAAAATAATAAAAATAATAAAAAATGATGGACCCCAGTCCATTTTAGCATTAAAAAAAAGCATATTAGGGCTCTTCTTGCGTACGAAGTCGTGGCACCGCCTCTTCGCTGCTGTGATGCTGCAGTGGCGCTGCCTCTTTTTGCCACTTTGCCGCTGCAGCAACGCTACCTCTTCACTGATTTGCCACTGCGATGCTGCAGCGACGCTGCCTCTTCATCGCTTCGCCGCTGCGATGTTGCAGCAGCGCTGCCTCTTCACCGCCTCGCTACTGCGATGCCACTTCGCCGCTTCGCTGTTGCGATGCTGCAGCAGCACCACCTCTTCGCCGCTGTAATGCTACTGCTTCCCTTCGACGCTGCTGCTGCTTCCCAAGTATCGCTGCACTTCTCCTCCTTTTCTTTGCTCTTTCTCTTTTTCCTTCTTTCTCCTTTTTCCTCCTTTGTTCCTCCACCGGACCTTCCTTTTTGATCTATTTTTCTTCCTTGTCGAAACATCGGTACACACCGGCATACCATGTGTCGGGACACTGGTACGGAGCACCAAGTGTCATGTCGCCAATCGACTGGCACACCGGCTTGGATTGGTAACTTAAACCTTGACATAAATAACTCCAAAATTTTCCTTACAACTAACAGAGGTTAATAAAAATGACAAATGGACAACCAATCATGAATGAACAATCGTAGAGTGTTTCTTTTTGTCCCCTTTTTAATGGGCACCTCAATAATTTCAAATGAGGATATTCATAAATTGGTTGTGATTCATTCGTTAAGAACCTCCTGGCACTCTGCCACAGTACTTCCAATGACCGATGGATCACCATTATCATTCAGTTTCTTTGTATTTTTTTAGGCTTAAGGAAATAGGCTTTGGATGTGAAACTTCCCTACACCACTCTCCTCATCTTGGATCCTTCCTTCTTGGAGACCTATACCGGCTCTAGACTGACCTATTCCAGCAAGTCCATCTCCCTTGAAAAATTACATACTGCTACATTTTGAAACATCAGGGACACCTTAGCCACCAAATTATCAAACTTAACATCACCCTCCACAGCTGTTACCCCTCCTCCACAATAAGACGTGCATTATGAACTTATGGCTTAACTAATTATTGAGTGATACCTTAAATTTGCATCTTTTAAGCTTAGTTATAGTAGTTATACTTTCAGGCATGACTTCATACTAGAGTCCATATTAATTTTTCTATCTCATTCTACATATTAGGACATCAAGAAGGAGCATTTCTAATTGAAGAATTAACCCAATATTCCCATTTGGACGTAACTAAATAGATCCTATTAACACACTTCCTTAAATTGTAATCACAAGAAATGAGGGATTGAGCAACACCTAAAGTCCATTAAAGTCCAAATCATAAGTTGAGCAACACCTAAAGTCCATAATCCTATTCTGTGATGGGATCAACAATCTATTTAGTAGTAGTGTGCAAGATTATATATCTTAAAATACCATATAATGGGTGCAGGTATGCACTGAATACTGTGGCACATTTTTTTCTTGTTTAATCAATGTAAACTCAGAATGCACATAATTCGAAGAAAAAATTGGTACTTATATGCACGAGAAAAAAGATCATAAAATAAGACAAAATAGAAGAATCAGTTGAAACAACAAACTTGTCTTTTTTTATTCCATAAAGTGATACCTACTTGCATGACAAAAAGGATCATAAAATAAGAAAAAAAATAAAAGAATGGGTTGAAACAACAATCTTGTCTTTTCTTTCTATTCCATAAAGTTTCCTAAAGATGAAAATTTGTTTCACAAGTTCAGGTTCCTTGGAAACTAAATTAAGCATAAAAAATAAATAACTTAAATGCTCCAAAACATACATAGAAAGACTTTTATTGCTTGCAACTTAAAGGAAAAGAACAGATATGCAAGAAAGCAACATTTTACTTTGTATTTTCTCTTTGAGGTAACTGTCCATTTAGAACACAATTAATACACCACCAAGGAAGATCTTTCTCATCTTCTGTACCATCTAAATCTGTAATCTTTTTTCTCCAAGGACCTCCATGTGAACCTTCTGTAATTATTGATGGAGGCGAAACTGTGGAAAACTCAAACGAAGGAAGCATGCCAGATTTACTGTTTTCAGCTCCATCATCCACCTCAAGTTTTGAATGAGAAAGATTTCGAATGGAAACATCCTTCTCAGTTGCAACATCACCATTAGATGAAATTGGCGATCCCTTCCTCTGGCTTCTTTTGGCCATCCAATGGGCCAACAAGCCACGAAGTGTCTCCTGAGCTAGATTAATCTGCATCGTTTTGTAACAGATATTTTACAATCACCTATGTTAGTCCACCCAGATTATATGTTTTTCTCCAGGCAGACAAACAGTCATCCTATTTTTAATATAAAATAAAAAATACTGAATATTGATGACATGTTTGCTTTTAAGATTTCAAGTCATAGAAGTCAACCGAGTAGGATTTTTAAAAAAAAAATTATTTACCTTGACATCATCTTGTGCTCCTGGTATATTCATGTCAATAGCATACATCTCAGCGGAGAAACATTGAGGACTATCCAAATGGATAGATAAACAACCAAGCCGAGTATCTGCTGTAAACCATGCAGGTATGCTCACCTGGATAAATGAAAAAAAATTCCAAATATGTAGTAGAAATAGATAATTTTGTTAAAAAGGAATACTAGCAATATTGGCACTGCTTGATATGTTACCATTTCAAACAGCTCTTCTTTCTTCTTCTCAAATGAAACCTGCAGGTGAATTACGGAGTCATAAGTTACACCTACAAGAGAGGTCATATTTTCTTAAGTTAATCAAGATAATCTGTTAAGGAATTGTATGGTCGTAAGGTGTATGATTGTATGAATAAGATATCATTAGCACCCAATGTCATCAAGTTGAATGAGCTGTTATGACAGTTCAGCTTTTATTGGGACATTGTTCAATGCTACAAAGAATACCTTTCCATGATCCTCAATGACAACTCCCTTGGTAATCTCCCACAGCTTAACAGAACCTGCAGTGTCCTGTTAAAAAAGGGATGTTAAAGTCGTTAACAACTAAAAAAACCATGAAACTACCAATTAGTGCTAGATATTGGAACCACCCAAAATCATTCAAAGAGAGAACATAAAGGATACAAGTGGAATAGAACCTAATAATACCTTCGTCAAGACATATCTTCTATTATTTAAGATTTCATGCTGTACAATTCCCAAATTTCCAGGAATAGTGAAATATGGTTTGTTATATACAGGAACCTGCAAAAGCATTGGTGATTAACTATATGTTAATCAGGAAAAAATTCTTGCAGATCTGCAAATCAGAAACAAACTTCAAATCATTTTGGGATAAACTATGCATTTTACAAAACAAATATCTCTATATTTCAATGCATCTTAAGCTGAAATAAAACGTATTTCACCTAAAGTCTGACATAATAAATATAATGACTTCATTGATGAAATTTAGAATCATTTGAACTTGAAATTGTAGCAGATTTCATTACAGTTCCATAAATTCAAAACCTAGACATAAACCCCAAAAATCAATGACTAGAGATTACATAAATGAGAACAGTGGCTTAGATATAAGCACTAAGAACAAAATGAATAACATCTAATCAAAAAGTAGAGCAATGTCAAGATCCAGGCACAAGTTTCACATAATTTCATGGTCTAGATTGAAGTATCAAAAAACTGCACAAATTTTTGAACATTTATTTAAGGAATAATCCAGAAGATGGGTAAATATGAATACGAAAAAATTATTCAATTTATGAAATCTTGAGCCTCCAAATATAACATCAGATACTTCAGGATCAGTAAAAAGGAAACAACAAGTTAAAAAAGATGAACCAAAGGAAATTGAAAAAAAGAAATGAAGCTTAAAACAAGTGATGTAGTTCCAAATTCTATCTTTTTTAGCATTGTCTTCTCAAGTTGAAATGATGAACCACATAGCTCAATAAAATTTTCGAAAAATAAAAACAAAGCTGAAACAAGAGATTTAGTCTCCAAATCTCCTTTGGCATCATTCCCCAAAGTTGAATCTTCATTCCAATATCACAAAATGGCTTTAGAAGTTCAGAGAAGAAGACAGAATGGGCATCCATTCTTTAAGTGAAAAGGTCCAAGACAAGGAATTTTAATTTCCAGTATACCACCCATAATGTTCCGAGTGAGAACCAGGATGTAGAGCTCCCTCTACCACGTTCAGTAGGCAGTATACCTCAAACTCAACTTACTACAATTTATCAGTCAGCATAACATGATTGGGTACAATCCAGGGTCCAAAGCAATTACAATGGGAACTAAGCAAATAAGCATAGTACACCACTCATTTCAGTAAATAAGCCATTTTGAATCTCCAGAACAGTTTCTCTTCAACCCCTGCCCCAGTCTATTAGCATGAATCATGAATTTCAAAAGCAAATCTTTGTGTTTACTTCGCCAAAAAAGGAAACAAACCCTCATGTTCACAACTCTTCTGAGGAAATGAAGAAAGCAGAGGCAGCTCTTCTAAGGTGTAGACAAAGGGTGCAGGAGGAACAGCTGAACTTGACAGTTTGAACTTGTAAACTAATAATATAAAGTTCAACCTAAGATATCCAACAGTAACCAAGCAGCCAAAAACAGGTAACTTATTTTTCATTTAACATAATGTCTCACACTACTGCATGCTATGACTTACAGGAGCAGATCCTTCTAAAGAAGCTCTTGCCCTTGTAAATGACAAATTTCCTGCTATGAATGAACCACCTCTTTGAAAAATCTTCTGAGGATTATGTACTTCAGCTGGAAACCTGTCTACAGAGGAATTTGTTGTTGCTATCCATATACTATCGTCTTGTAAGGCCATTTGTAAAATTGGATCCTCTTTTGTGCAAAGCAAAATGCTCTCTCTTGTTGACAAGTCTGTCAGGTACAACTAATATATCCACATTCATGTAGAGATGGTACACATCAGACAGCGATCAGTTTTAAACCTTAAGAAGATAAGGGAGCTGTCATACTTACAGATAGGTCTCTACCACCACTATAAACATGTGTGAATGTTGGGGTGCTGGCAAGTGCCCAGACTGAATCTGTATGGACAGCATAACAGTGTACACAGCGCTGTTGACCAAGATCCCATAGGCTACACAAGACAGAGCACCTCAACTAAGCATGCTTAGAAGTTTCACAAATGACATTAATCCATAAAGTTCCAGATTCAGTTATGTTATGCTAAGCTAAAAAGTTATGTCAATCAAGTAATTTTCAGTATCATATAGAAAAAGAAAATGATAATTTTTTCCATAAGACTTAATTCTACCTAAATTATTTGATGTACATGGAATTTGGCACATAAACAATTACAAACAACAAATGATATCTGAGTCTCTGACAATCCTTTTTAATAAAATAAACAAAAAAAGAACAGCTCATTTCCCTTAGGAGACAACAAAAACTTTACCTATTAACAAGAGATATAAAAAGATTTTAGTATTTCATACCGAATCATTGAATCAGATGAACCTGATAAGCAAAGCCTGCAGAAGATAATCATGTTTCAATTTGAATGTAGTAAATAGCATGTATCTATACCAACAACATAATGACATATATTACAGATTAGAAAGTTAATTCAAAAGTAGGCATAAAGGTGTCATTAAGGCAGTCAAGGCATTTCGATATGATGTTGAGTCGTTGACTAACTATAAAGTGGAGGTGCCAGGCTGATAAGTAAACAATGAGCATCAAGATACATGCTAAGGTGGCTATTCAGCAGACTATGGAGTACGAAGTGATAAAATTACCAAATCAAAGAAACCATGTTTTGAAACAAAATAATGCTAGGATGGAGAAGGGCTAGCTAAAATAAGAATGACAAGGCAAAGCTAGGATGACCAAAGATTTGCATGTAACATGTCAACAAAACAAAGATTAACATCACAGCAAGAGCACCCCCTTCAAGTCCATTGTTAGAAAGATTAGCTAGCCAGTCAAACATAGTTACATAATGCTTCTTAGTTATGCATTGTGGTATAGGATTTTGTAACAAGAGCAAATATTTTCCCTTCAACCGTTCCTAACCGGCATTGGACTGTGTGTACTGTTCCAAGCCTGAAAATGATGATATCATGGAGCATTTGTTCACAAGGTTGGATTTTTGTTTCTCTTTTGTGTGCATGTTACTATAAGGTTTAGCCAATATAGTGTGAATGAAAAGTCTGATCTTGGGCAGCATTTATCACAAGGTTTAATTTCTCTTTCTTTTGTGTGCAAGTTACTGTAAGCTTTAGCCAATCTAGTGTAAACACAATTTCCTTTCTTTTTGGGTTTCAATTCAATGGCATAGCCAATATCCTATAAGTGCTACCTTCTTCCAACTCAACCAAAATATAACAGCTAAGGACAACCTCATTAGAATCAGAACAGGTAAATTTCCATCTCTCTTGTCTCTCTCTTTCTTCTCGATGTTCCCCCTCTTTTCCCTTTCAACTTAATGCATACTTGTGTCGATGCAACAGCATTTATAAAATCCTTGAATAAGATCACAAGCGACTAGAATGAAATTAAGTTTACAAATGATTGTCGTCTACAAGAAAGAGATAGGCCAAGGGCAGAAAGAAGCTTATTTCATTTAGCCGAAACAATTTTAGCAAGTTATGATTAAATACCGTGTTAGCAAACATGAAACTGAGATCTTACAGATACAAACAGATTTCAAAAAATTAACAAAAGGTGCAGGTGGCCAGGGGAGCTCCAGTCAATTAATCTATTTCAAAGAATCTTCACTACGAACAGCAATTTTTGTGCAAGGTGTTCCAATGTGTAATTTACCAAAAAGATTCTTCATCATTCTTGGTGCTGCAAGTAGAGTCTGGCCATAGACAGTTATGGCTGAAGAATTTTGGCTTTCAAAGTAGGTCCAGTCCTATCAGAATACCAACTCTTGAAATTAATTTTCTAGGAATGAATTCTCCATTATTTGTTTTCTCAATCAGGATAAAACAAGATGAAAAATCACAAGTTATGGAGAGAAGAAGATAGACGAGCTCAGAACCAAGAGCTTTATGGAAGCAGTGAAATGTAATGCTGACAAGATTTATTTCATTTATTTAGCATGAGATCATTCTTCAAGCTAAAAAGTTCGTCCAGTCCTAAGTGCCACATGGATGTAATAGCCATTTCTTGAAGTCCTTGCTAGGAACTTGGTGGCTACTATTTATTACATTTTTATTTGCTTCCACGATTCAGAGGGTAACTTGTACAGCAAAGAATGCATTTATCCACCAAAGGACACTCCAGATGATCTCTTCAACATATGCGCCATGTTACTATATTCTGAAACACCTACTAGACAACTTCAACTATTGTCATTTTTTCAGACAATTCCATCCCCAAAGGCCACTTCCTCAACATCTCCGTGTATATGCTAATGAGAAGTCAGGGAATGCCTATCTATCTAATTTGTTGCCAAATTTATAAACATATAAGAATGCAAAGAAATAGCATTTAAAGAGATGGATCATCTTTTTCGTGTTGGATGTATTCATTGAGATCATCTCTAAGTTCCAAATTCATTTTGTTTGCCTTTAACTATTGCTTTATATTCCATATGTTTTCTATCATGGAACAAGGCTTACAACTCAAGTCTGCCAAGCATATCCTAGATTCTGATTCGTGCAAGAACAATCATTCTTCATAACTATCATTTGCATTAAAGAACCTTTAATTGTAAAAGAGATACTAAGTATATTTAACTAAAACTGTGAGAAATTGTACAGTTGCGTCAACACTGTTCTGCTCTAACCTGCTCCATTCAAATCTATCGTTGCCTTTCTTGAAGCATCAGATATTTTTAATTTCAAGAAATTTCTTAATAACTATGTTTATATCATGACAACAGATGGATATTACAGAACAACTATGGCTAAGTCTGAAAGATTACTGGTGAACCATCAGACAACCTGCAGGGATTTCTCTAATGGCTAACATGGAATGAGACATCTGATCAACTTATATGTTCAGGAACAAAATGAATTAAATGATGCATACTAGTTTGTTGTAGAGCCAGTAAAAGCAGTCAAGGCAAACAGGAAGTTCACACACTAACCTGCCAGTAGAATCAAGAAGCAAAGCCCTGATGTTGTCAGTGTGACCTTTTAGTTTCATCTTTTTTGAACCAGTTCTTGGATCCCAAACACGTACAACCTATGTTGAAACAATAAAATTCAACTAAAATATTCAGCTAAATTTGCTAAAACCGAATTTAAACATCACATATGGAACATAGTGGCAGTATTTGTTACAGAATTGGGTACAGAAGACATACTTTATGTAATTAACAGGTGAACGATGATAAAATATTATAGGAATTTAAGGTCACCTTTTCAGTTCCACCAGATACAAGCAGGGTCCCACTATCATTCATTGCTAGAGCATAAACTGACTCTTTATGGCCCTTTGCAGGAATGGGACTGTACCCATGGGATTGAGAGTTGTGAATTGACATGTTATTGTCTGCATTGCTACAGCACAAACTTGACAATGGATGCCCATCATTTCCATTGGAAATCTTATCTTCAGTTGTGTCAACAGGCTTAGCAATTGGTGAAAGAGCTGCATCAACGTCCCATATGAAAACCTCACCACCTAGTCCCCCGGAGGCAACAATGTTGCTCTAATATACATGATGTTAAAAAGATTATAAACATTAAGATAAGTGGTAGATCAGAACGAGAATATGTTTGCATTCAAAAAATATATAACAAAAGAAGGCATACTGCATAAAGCCAATGTTCAAAAAGTAAGTCATTTGTTTCAGTAACCCAAAAAAGTATGTATTACTAATTACATTTTTCTCAGCAGCAGCGAGACAAGTAACATAATCAGAATGTTGCCGGAGTGTTCTAGTGCAAGCACCATCAGACAAGGAATTCCACATCTGAGAAAAAAAAAAGCCAAGAAAAGATGATAAACTCCACTAGTCATAAAGCAAGCTAGAATCTACTAGAAGTGAAGAACCTTAACGGTGGCGTCTGAAGAGCAGGAAACAAGCGTGTTACCAGCCAGAACTGCATCATTGACCTGCATAACAGGGGAGGAAGTTCAGGTAACACAAAGATGTATGAAGGCACAATTTCTTGCTGCATGAAGATGTCAGAATTTAGTGCCAAAATTCGAACAAATTAAAAAAGTATATCAGCAGCCAACCAAAGATAAATTTAAAAGTAGAATATAAATTACACAAATATGATTCTAGGTTCCACAACTATAATTTGAACATACATGAAGAAAACTGAAAAAAAACGTCCCTTCAGATATGCAAATTAGTGACTGCTACCACTACCATTCAATAAAAAGAACTTTCCTAGTAAATAAATTGAATAATCCAAGACATGGAAATAATTGTAAATGGAGACACTAAAGGCACAAATTTTTGAGGCTAAGACTGCAATCAGTAACATGTTACAGACATAGATCCCCTTCCATCATATAAATGTAGCAATAAATTTATTACCAACCAAAAGCGTTGAATAATAGTTCTATTAACCAAGGTTCGCAATACCGTACCATACCGGTGTTTTGACCTGGGCTCGGTACCGGTATGGTACGGTATACCGAGCGGTACACCCAGGTGTACGGAGCGGTATACTCAGGTGTGCCGAGTACTGTAGCTCTGCTACAGTGCACTCGGACCGGTAACAGGCGATTCGTGTATCGGCAACCTGTCAGACCGGTACGTACCGCCCGTACCGAGCGGTACAGTTCGGTACTGCAGACCATGCTATTAACACAGAATGCATGGAATATTTAATGGATCAGCATGTCAACATTTTTTTTTTCAGAAATGTGAACTGCAATATGCTTTCTCTTTCTTAACCAGCAAACGATGTGCTATTTGACTTGGAACATTTGTTTTTATAAGACAACACTTAAAGAACTTGACTTCCAAATAAGCAATTTGTGAGAAACAAGAAATTTTAAGTTAGTGATCTTGGTAGAAAACTTTAAGTAATTTGTGACTTCCATATATGCAACTTGCGGGAAATGAAAGTATTGAAGTATTCATGACAATACCCAATCAACATGAGATTCAAATGTCGCTGAACAGCTAGCTTCAGTATTGTTTAAAGCCCATCTTTTTATTGTCCCATCTCGGCTCCCAGTGAAAAGATAATCACAGCCATTGGGTGGTGCAGACTTTAAAACAGACAGACAATTAATGCCTGCACAATGCTGCAAATAGCAAGGATAATTTTTTTAAAAATAGATAGAATAATTTAAACAAGACAACATGTGCTATGCCAAAATAAATCTCAAATTAAAAAAAAAAAAACATATTCATCAATCATCATAAAAGCAATAAATAGTTAAATGAATATAAGAACAGAAACAAAGAGACCCTTTTGTCATCTACATCATTCAGCACATATGTTAAGCGTTTCTCTTTCCGATGACGAGTTGAACCAGATGTGTTATTGGAACTTGTCACACGATGCATTCCAAGCTTGCTTGTAACAGATTGTCCCTATAATCAAAAGGCCACTATAAAATTTGTTATCATTTGAAATAGCTTTTTTAACAAATCAGACATAGAACTTTATAAAACAATCGGTAATGATCAAAGATGTAAATAAAAAAAAGACAGTGTAGCACAGACAGTTAACAAATCAGATATAAACAAGTCAAGGCAATAAATTTCAGAATTCTGAATCTTCTAGAAAAGCCCTAAAAGAACTATCTCGAAATCCAGGAATTTAACACACGGAATCAAATTACCTAACACCATCAGTAGGAAGCTCCACAGGGGCTTGTGTCTACAAACAAATAAAAGAGTTGCAGTGGAGTGAGAGCATTCTAACAGTACAATCAAGACACTTCCTTAACAAAAATAGAGATTCACAATTTATATATAGACTTACAAAGTTATATATGTCAACCAGCATCATTTGCAGATGTCAAGGAGCACATATAACATATCATGTTAACATCTTAGTCTCAATATCTCAACTTAGCAATTCAAAATAATCGAACGACCAACAGAGTCCAGCACTGATAGTTTCCTCTGAAAATGCGCAACCATAATACTCTTTTATGACAATTTTATGATACAAAGGACAAGCCATTCGGTAAACATTCGAAACAAAACTAAGGCCACATTAAATGCAGCAGAACGACTCATAATACCCTTTTATCCCACCAAATCCACCACAATTCTTCGACCTATTTAGATCTAAGAACAAGCATAGAAAACTCCCACAGAAATGCATAAAAACTGGATCATGGTCCTTCTGTCGGGGTACAATTCGTTCTGTTTGGACTGAACTACGACGCACAAAGAATCAGAATTCCGGGGCATAATGACGATCACGAGAAGCACTGGCATCAAAAGGCGTATTTGGACCACGGTGCGATCATCGGGGCATTACGGCGGCCGTAGCCATGGACGCGGGGGACCGCCTACGGTTGCTGCCCCCTTTCAGCCCCCACTGAGAACGGGGGCGATCGCGATCGTCAGCAAACCGTCCGAGGGCAGGCGGAAACGGAAGCCGTTCGGAAGCCGAGGGCGGCTCCGCAGCGGGAGAGAGAGAGAGGGTGGAAGAGAGAGAGAGAGAGGCGTGCGTACCTGTGGCAGGAGATGTACTGGATGGACCGATCGATCTCTGCCTCTTCCTACTGCTGCCCGTCTAACGATCGCGGTCGCCTCCAGAGACAGGAGAAACAACGGCAATAAAAACAAACTGAGATTATACCGACAATAACAAAAATAATAATAATAACATAGAAATGAAAGAGGAGTCCTCGGGCCGGAGTTTTGCCCGATATGGTGACACGTTGATGGGCTCTATGAGAGCCCGCAAGGACTAGTAGTCCAGACTCCACTCCACTATATTTAGAAAACGTATTATTAAGATATTGCGCCATTAGGAAAAATTTTAATATATTTATGAATTTTAATAGTATCTCGTACATCATGCATTTAGGATCAACTCATAATAGATAAAAATAAGTTTATGTAAAAGAAAAAGAATAAAAATAAAAATAAAACTCAACTGGCTTGTGCTTAACGATGGTTTTAACTCAACAGGCTTAATATAATTCGATATCAAATGTATTTTGAGTCATTCATGTTTAATATATTTATAAATTTTAAATTTGATGATATTGGTTCGAAATTCAGTAACAATGAGTCTAAAGTTTGTTTGGACACATATTCAACCTTGAAACTTAAGCTCTGATATGGGTTTAACCTTATTCTTTTAATCCTTAGCCGTCTCACTCACGATCAATGATAATTATGGATAGCAGTTGCGCACTACTCTTGGGCTCAATTACAATCATAGGGTTATGATGCACCGAATCTAAGATATGATACCAGTTGGTTCGATTTGGTCATTCGATACCAAGGTGTTAGCCACATGTCATTCACATAGTATCGGGGAGTTATTCATATTATCATGGACTAAGCTAGAATTACACTTGGTATGCAAAGAGTCAGCGTAAGGTCCCAAAGGACTTGTAAAAGAGTAAATTAATTAATTTCAAAAATAAGTGACCAACAAGTCTCGACACCCTCGCAAAAAGGGCAACTTTATAAGTAACTTAATAAGCACTTGGTATGCAAGAGAGTAAAGAGAAAAATAAGAACTTTAGAAGACAAATAAATAATCGCATATCCACAAAAGATTGCTCACCAAGTATTAAGCACATTGACAAGTCCCCGTAAGCTTTACATGCAAACTTGTGAAATCTAATCATCACCACATACTACCCCAAACCCTTAGTCAATCTTGTGAAATCTAAAATCTAATCATGATTTTAGAGGCAGAGAGAGTTGACGTTTCGCACAGCATTATAGCTAGTAGAAAATAAGCCATGACATAAAAACTAGGTTATTCTATGATAGTTTTACCAATTTTAGTAAGTGGTCACTCTATAGCCAAACAAATTATTCCTACTCATAGTTTTCAAGCAAAAATATACAAAAATAAAGCTAAAATATGCAGCCAAATATATGTATAAGTAAATAAAAGCAATGAACAGTCCATTGATGATGGTGTGGTAGGTGCATGATGATCGTCTGTGATATTCTCTCTCACTTAATTATCGATGTCCTCATCAATACTTGGTATACTTTGATAACTGCTTCTTTGTATCACAAGGCATATTTAGGCTCTTAAATGACTTTTGTCTAGGGAAGCTTTTGCTACTTCACCAAATACTCGATCTGCTCTACTTTGTTGGGTATCTTTATTTTGCGATCCGTTAAAATGACTGCAACTTACTTTTCATAGGAGGCTCTAATGGGAGGTAGTCGATTTGAAATACCTCGGAAAGCATCTTGTGGATCTAAGTAATAGTCTTTTAAGTTGCTCACGCATGAAATACATTATGAATTTTGAGCTATGCCGACAATTGTAACTTGTATGAGACATTGTCTACCCTGTTGATAATTGAAAATGATTCTTCATATTTTTGCATCAATCCCTTGTATATTTTTAAAGAATTAAAATAATGCTAGTTGAAGCTTCATCAGTATTAAGTCACCAACTTTGAACTCCTATAGTTGTCTTTCCATATCTACCTACCTATTTTATCTTTTTGGTCACATTCTCTAAGTAAGCTTGAGTAATATTTATGTTTCTATATCAATCCTTTGTAAGTGATATACTGACATGCTACTCCCAGTATAATCAATCACTAAAGTGTAAGGAGTTGATGGCCGTTATCCAATAATGATCTCGAAAGAATTCTTATTTTATGTAGAACTCTATTATAGGAGAATTTGGCTAAGTCTAACAACTTTATCCAATCTCATTGGTTGGCACTAATGCCGAAGATATTGCTTAAGAAGTTCAATTATGATAGATTTCTCAGAAGATATCCTCCTAATTATTATTCTAGGTCTTTTGCTCTAGCATATAATTAGATAAGACCTCCTAGGGACTCAATATATAAAAATGAGATTACAGATTTTCTCTCATCTCCCTTACTCCCTACTCTATCGTTTGGTCCTATGAAAGATACGAAGAGAGGAGAAAATAAATTTAATTCTCCTTACAAATGGATGGTATTACTTATTTAAGAAGAAATATATTCAGAATAATATCGAAATATACATAATCATAATTTTTATCTATGATTATTTGATTTCAGTTTTTGATATTAATTTTTTTATATAATAACATAATTATTATTTTACGTTTACAGAGGAGACATTGGAGATAATGATATTAATTTGTATGAGGACTTAATCTAAACAGATAATTAACTCATTAAATTCGTTAAAATCAAACTATTTATCTAAAATACTTAATATCAAGTTAATAGTAATATATTCGTGCGACTTATATGACAAATTTAGTCTTGCTTTCCTTTGCAAGTGGGAGTAGATGGAGGGTTGTTGTAATCTTTACCACTTAAAGGTTGACATCCTCGACCCAATTTAATTCAAAATGAAATCCTACTATGTTATATATATATATATATATATATATATATATATATATATAATCCACTTTGATATCATCGTCGTTCCACCTAATAGAATGACTAACACAAGAAGCTTGCAACCCTGCTAGTCCAACATCCAATATACATTCATGGGTTGTATATATTAAGACTATTGATGTGTTATGTTAATTTATCATTTGTAAGCTTGACGACAAAAAGATATTTAAGTACGAAGTATTAAACAATTAAGAAACAGTTAATATATTCCTCTTACTTACAGGAATAACATTAATTTTCCAATAAAACTTAGTGTATGGTGCAAATGCAAGTAATAAAAACATGACAGATATAACACTTGTGGGCACTATCTGCGTTCTAAGCAAAGCTTTTCCACGTTACCATAAATAAAATAAGATGAAAGAGTTAAAATGCATTGTGCAATTAAAGATAACATATTTAAAATATGCATCGAGGATCCAATACATATTTTTAAGTATAAATTAATATTTAATAAATATTTTAAAATTATATCTGATCAGGATGCTGTATTGAAAATGCTCGAATGCTGATGATACCTTAGGATAGTATTAATAATTTAATATTTATGCGATGTTAATATAATTTTAAAAAAATTTAAAGTACCCTATGATATTATCTCAAATCATAAGATTGTCATAGAAATTTTTACTCTCATTTCATCATCCATTTTTTCAAATTTTGTCATCACCCCTTTTGTTTAAAATTTTATTTATTTATTTTTAAAGATTATTTTTATATTTATTTATATGATTATATTTTTATTTATTAATATATATGAGCCATATAAATTTTTTGTAAGATTGTATACATCAATTTTATTTATTTATTTATTTATTTTAAAATATGTTTATTTTTGAATAAATATTTAAAATATTATCTAGATAAATTTATTATATAATATTTAATAAACTTTTGAAATATAATTTTAACAAACAACACTTACATCAATTCACATTTAAAATATAGCTTTTATATATTATTTATTAAACACTCAAGAATATTTTATAACTATGCATTCATTCAGACATCTTTTTCTAAATATATGTTAAAAATATAAATATATTCTCAAATACTATAAAATTCTTATCATGTATATAAATGGATGAAAACATCCGGTTACATGAATTCAATCTAATTAGGATGACATCAACCGCATTCATATCATGAATAAGATTGGAATAATAATAATAATTATTATTATTTATTATATAATAAAATAGCTAAAAATTAAGTAAGAGGTTAACATCAAGCCTTTCTATTTCTTCGCCAAAGGCACAGGAAGAGGACTTTCTTCTTCTGCTCTCTCTCCTCCCCTCGCTCCCGTCGAAGCTTCGCCGCCGCCACCTTCAGTACAACCTCCGCGGGCGCTGCTTCTATAATCTCCTTCACCGCCGCCGTCTCGCGCTTGCTGAACCGGCGAGCAATCAAGCAGAGCCACGACGACGTCCACATGATCGCGGACAGCCTGCCGCAGAAAACCGTCATCGCCAAGCCGGTGACGAGGAGAAACGCCCTGGTGGCCGAACTGCACAGCGTCGGCGGCGACCGCTTCTGATGTTCCTTCTGCTCCGGAGGATCCGGGAAACCGGATGTGACCGCCGATGACAAACGAGATATTGAGGCGGAAGACGCAGAGGAGGAGGAGGAGGAAGAAGAAGAAGAAGAAGAGGAGGAGAAGAAGGGCGAGGACGAGGAAGAGGAGGAGGAAAAGACCGCCGCCGCAGACCTATGGTTATCGTCACCGTCCCTGGATTTCGCGCTCGATTCCGACGCGGTCTTCGACGAATCCGACAACCGGCTCGAATTCCTCCTCTCTTTCCCGTTCCGATTCTGCCAAAATCATTGAAAACCGGTAAAAGAGAACGAATCTTAATCCTAAATGCACTTCGGATCGACCAAAAACCATGGAATTGGCGTCCATACCGGACAAGTAAGGAAAGATACGGATCTAAAGAACTTGGCTAGGACTCGGGATTGCAAGCGCAACCTCCTCGGTCGTGGTCCATCCTGCAAGGCCTCCTCGCCCTGGCCGGAGGAACCCACGGAGCCCCGTGAGGACTCCTCCACCTCGTCCTCCTCTGCGGCCGCCGCGCCGAAACATAGGAATCCATGGCCCCTCTTCCAGCTCCGCGGTCTCATTGCGGTCTCGAGTTCAAGGTCCGGCATTGGTGCTTGCGGTCGGAGGTCCGTAGCGCGCAGGCGAAGGGCGACATTGCAGTCCGCAGTCCGCGGTGACGTGATTTGGACGAACGGCTTTATAGAACTGCGGGCAGAGAGCGGTACTGCCCGTAACGGGTTACGGATCGACTTGCCGGCTTGGCTCCGCGTCGGCTTTTTAGTGGAGGCGGATGGAGAGGCCGAACGGACAATCTGACGCCCACGTCAGCCGGTATCGTTTTGGGGGTGCGAATTGGTGAGGAAAGCACTGCTGTATTGGTCGGCCATTTTCCGTGTTATTTCGACGGCTATTGGGCAACAATGGTCGTTTGGATCATGGTTATGTTGACCCATTCGCTTCTTGTTGGGTTACGTTTAGACTTTTTTTATAAGTAGGATTTGGCTCCGAAGGAGATGGGATAAGGCTGGAAGATGATGAACAGGATTGAGGTGTGACTGACCCTTCGTTTCTGGTCCACCGCAACTTGAGGAAGCCATCTAAAAGCACAATCCTTAGCATCCGGTGCATGGAGCAATCAAACAAGCGACAGCGCATTGCCTTCACCAGTAATTGGACAAAACCAAAAAAGTACAAGTAATACATAATGAAGTAGCTCCACGTAGTCATGTGTACGGTGGCAGGAAGGGCTGACATGACCTCACGCATGGGGACCGGACTAGTGAGGGATCTCAGATGGGACATAAAGCAGTATCTTCTTTGTCCTGCTGCTTCCATACGAATAGCGTACTGTCCTTTCTTCTGCTGCTGCTGCCATGTGACATGAGCGCTTTGACTCGCCACGTTGCAATCATGTCGGCGTGTGGACTGCTGCAGATGTGCCACTCGTACGAAAGATTCCACCTCATAACACAACTCGTCTGCCCAACGGTAGCAGCAGCCTAATTAAGCACCTTTCTCTCCTTCCCCATATTGGGACGGCCAATGTGATGAGATCGTGGGGCTCATGCTAATGTACACGTATGCAACACACTGTGTAGTACTTCGAATAAGGATCTCTCATCAATATTACTGCTATTGCACTCCACGAAACATACAATTAAACGTAGCGTAGCGGATATTTATATCTTCAGGAATGGAGGGCAGAGATCCGGCTCTGCTTGATATCCTGGCCGTCCGATGAGGATCCGACGGCGGGTTCGCTCTCTGGACTCGAGCACCGGTGGCCGAGCATCGTAGATCGAGCCCACCTCGCGCGTCGAGTCACATCCGTCCATCGCATCGAAGCACGCACACAGCTCGTCCTTTAAATTCAATTAAAATATATTTATATAATTACCCCTAACAAACAAACGGAAAAGAATAAAAGGGAAAGAGACGAGGAGAGATTTTTATTCCTTTTGATTTGGAGCGTACTCTGTTTATGAATTCGCAGGAGGAGATGGCGGAGCGGAAGGCAGGGAATTGGGAGGGGAAGAGCACGTTGGCGGCGGAGAGGAGCGCCGCCGCTGCGATCACGGAAGGTTTGAACTCCATCATCTTAATCTCTACATAGTTCGATTGGCTATTTGTTCGTCAAGATGTTCGGTTCAAAAGATTGTGATAGTGGGGAGAAGGTTGGAGATTTTAGTGATCACCGTCTTGGGCTCTGAGGATGGTGAGGGAGGCGCGCGATCGGAGGGCTCGGAGGAGCGAGGGATGAGTAGGGGAGAAGAAGGTGACGAAGAACCGGAGGAAGGAGAACGGCGTGATCGATCTCATCCGCCAATCCAGCGCCCCCAGGATTAGCATCTCCATCCTAAAGATTGTTCGACTGTCGAACGGCGACCCTTCTTCACCCTGAAGTAGCAAATTCGTAGGTTGGGATTCCGATCCAAAGGTCGGAAATGAATGGGACCTGGAGAATGGATCACACCTGGAAATGGGCGAGGGGGAAATGGGTCTCCGTCATCTTGGAGGCGAGGGAGAGGCAGGAGACGGAGAGTAGGCGGACGATCCGAGGCTTCTCCCTCTGCAGCCAAAGATCAAGATTAAGGAACCGATCTCATCATTCTTGTTAGGTGATCTAAATTGGTTTCGTCTTCACCGGGATCTGGCGCTTGGAGAGGAAACGATCGACGTAGTTGACGGCGAGGTAGGTCAGGAACGGATCTGCGTCGTTGCAGGTGAACTGCGCCTGTGGAGCAGGAACAGGGACCATCATTGTTGTCGATCGTCTTCCAATGGAACAGGGAGCAAGTAGCTCTAGTTACCTGGACGATTAGGGAGACGGCGTCTCTGCGGACGGCGATATCTATAGTGGAGGCGATGGAATGGTCGAGCTCGGCTGCGAAGAGGGCCGAGACGGACGCCCGCCGCCGCTGCTGCTCGTCGTCATCGGCGCTGGCCAGCGGGTTCTCGAGATCCAGCTCCATTGGTTTCTCCCTGTTCTGCCCTCCCTACTTTAACGTAGAGAAGGAACAGAAGCGCAGGCCGACAAGACCATTTCAGAGAGAGAGAGAGAGATGGTCTCTATCTATGGCACTGAAATCTTGACAGCTGAGACGCCATATATATAGACAGGTAGATGAGACGCGGGCGCGGTGTCACTTTCTTAAGCTTCGTTCTTTGTCAAGGGGAGCGAGCACCTGCGAGAGGTGAAGTGCTGCTGAGGAGAGAGCTTAGAAGTTAATCCTAAGCAAGAGACATGTCATTTGTGGCACACAGGTTAGTCAAAGTTCCGTAGCCACAAGTTCCCTTGTTACGTTCATTAAAATATATACACGTATGTGATGATAGAAGGATGGTTGTATCTAATAATTAAAAGAATCAAATTATATATATTATATTTAATTTATAATATAACATTTCAATTTTTAGTTTGAATTAATGTAAGATATGATAGTCTTATTCAATTATATCATTATTCGAGATATAAAAAAGTATAATTCTTTTGTGGAAGGATTCAAAGAGTTTGGTAAAAAGATTGCTAATTATTTTCGTATGTAGTTCATTCTTGAAATAAGTCGTTTTCATATGATATAGAGGTAATGCTCGAGTTATTATTAAAATGAACTGTTTTTGTCTGGTGAGTTTATAATGAGTTGTGATTTGGATGTTGTAGTGGATACGGACATGATGTGGACTTATCGACCCATGAGTTTAAGATATATTAACATTGTTCATGTATGATAGAGGACATTCATTAAAGGCATAGCAAGCTGTTCATCTCGAGTTCTCCATTCATGGATAAAAATGGACACAACGTTAAGGACGCGATCCTGGGGGATTCGCCTTGTCCCTTCTTTTCTTTTCGCTTCAGCGAGAGACTTGAATTGTCCCTCCAAGCCGACGCTCCCCGGCCGTGGGCTCGTAAGGTCCCCCGGTACCCCCCATCCCCACCACGTGAGTCTGGCACAGACATAGTGATTGGACGTTGTGGGAGACATCTCCAGGCAAAGTCCAAGGCTTAGTCCTCTCGTGTATTTTTCACCCATGGTAAGCTACACAGCCATGTAGATGTGGGAAGGAGATCCGGGCACGGTCTCCTGATCAACACAACTTGGATCACCCACGTGAGTGTCTTTGGAAGGGAGCGCACGAGAAGAGACCAACATTGCTGCTGCTGGGAATAAAATGCTGCAAATCTTGCTTTGCATAGATGATGCTGGACGATACTTGAGTTGGAATCTATCAACGGAAGAAGCCACTTAGTGATGAGGACCTCACCTCTGCCCATGTCTCTCCTGCACGAGCATATATCAGCCATCACTCCCGTTCGCTTGGTTGTCTGATACTGTATCGAGCTTGACAATGAAGGCAGATACATCTCACAGTTCTGAAGCATCTGTTGCCCTAGCAAATTGGAGAGAGATTATATGGCTCTGCAATGTGTCCTTGTTTCCATCAATTACAACAGCCTTCTCATACTCTGTTGCACTCACGGAGGAAGACAAAAGGCTTTAGGGTCATAGATAGGGAAGGGTTTGCACGCTGGGAATGATATAGCTGGAAGGAAGGTGCCATCATCATTGTTGTCAAACTGTTGCGCGTGTTGAGGTTGGTTTGATTCATTAGAATGTCTCAGCCACAGGAGTGCGTGGGAAGTCATCATCTCATGCCATATTACTCACGCGCGGAACGAAATCATCATTGGATAGCACTCTAGCCCTTGAGGAGCACCAAATAGGCCCGCAGATGACAAACCAACCCTTCCTCCTACAATCAATTAGGTGAGGATTTGAATCAACTTGAGCTTCTGTTTAGATAATCAGATATTTGAATTGAAATATGATTCTTGAAGGTGAAAGAATGTGCAGTACCAATTAGATCTGACACTTGTCCACTTTGACTATACATAATGACATTGCTACTTAAGCACCAAGACTCTGTTTTATAGGTCAAGGCATGTCATAGCATCTCGATATAATCAAGTTCATCTCCTCATGACCTATGTGACTCCATCACCGACAATAAAATCATACTAGTCTAACTCATTGGTGTCAGAATATACTAACTAGGCTCACTTTATCGCTGTTGTAGCCTCAAGTTCAAGCAAATATGATACGAGGAGACTATCTCTTGATACTATATGATTTATCGAAAGTTCTTTGTCGTCTCTTGTTATCATTCCTCCAACATATTGATTACAATTGTTCTCATACTATAGCCTTCGTGGCATAAGGGTCTCCTCTTTCTGGAGGGATGAACCTAATTAATAACTCATTAAGTATGATTTATAATATGATATCTTATAACTTAAACATTGAAAAAGGGATAACAGGTCAATCTTTGTCACTCTCTTCATATCTGTCTTCCAAATGAATTTATGAGTATTTCAAAATATAAGAATATGATTATAAAAAAAATATTTTTTCAATGACACATAATCACATAATTAACACGAGAAGGATAAGTGCTCAGTCAACAATTGAGCAATGTAAACATCAGCCTAATATTAAAATATCAAAAAAATGTTTTACTTATATTCTAATTTTTTTTCTAATTAAATTTATTATTTAAAAAATCATCAAATTATAGTAATCAATGATAGTTATTGTTTACTTGAGATTTTCTTTTTTTTATTTCGAATTTGACTAAAGAATTGGAGGAATCGCGTCAAAATCTTCATCCAGCCTCATTCTTTAT